GAAGGTGAGTAGATGACTCTATCGAGCTATGAACAATCTATGTTGAGCTGCATTTCCAGAGATATTTTTTCGAGAGTTTTCAATACATGGTGTACCCCTAAAACTCCACGATCTGCAGGCCCACGACCCGCGAAGAAAAATGTTCTTCACCGCGGCCCGCGGGTTCACCTACGCTGCCAGATTACGGCCGTAGAGGATTTGTACGCTGCAACCCGCAGAAGCTCTGCAGCCCACAGACCTATTTGCGCTTCAAACTCGCAGTTACAGAGCACCCCGTGGCTGCGAAAGTTTTGTTAATTGAAGCTCGCGGAGGTCGCGACTCAATTTTAAATTTTGAACTTGTTTTGAGTAGTTTTGGAACCCTTGTTTATTGAAACTCGTGCCCGACCCTTGAAAATCATTCCACACTTCGTTTTTCTCAGTTTTTCTCACTTTTGCACTTGGTTTTTCTTGGATTTGATCTTGGAGAGTGACACTCTAATGATTGATTCATGGATTTGGCTTCGAATCGTAATTCACTATTTGGCTGCATATTAGTCATAATGTTTCCTTTTTATTTTGTCTATGGATGTGATATCTTTGATTGATATGATCACTAGTGTTGGTTGCAATATGATAACCTAAATTCATTCGCTAGAGATAAGGGATTATTGTTCTTGTTCTTATGGCTATCGTGCTTTTGTGAATCGTTCATTCTATATGAGTTGTGTTACTCCAATTGTTAGTTGATTGATCACTTCTAATCCAGTTAAACAACTTTTAGAACTGAAAGGGGAGTTGTTGTTTGATGTAGGCTTGTATAGGGTAGGCTTCTAATCCAATGACGTACATGTTATCCGGCCTACGCGGAACCCCGATTCTTACATGGTATTAGAGAGGGCCTACATGAGACCTGTGGACACTTACCCATCTCCCGGCCTACGTGGACTTGGGCTTCGTATGAAGGACTCACAAGTGAAGGGACATATTAGAATATAATACCACTTGCGAGTTGTCGCACATCGTTTATACAGGTAAAATAGGCCTAACTTATAAGCCTAGTGGGCTACTCCTCCTTCTAACATATGGTTTTGGGATGAAATCTTACTATAGTGTATCTAAGGCTCACCTTGTTATGGTGTGCTTCATGTGCATGAGACCACACCAGTTTCCCCCGATTCTTTCAATCGTGTATCTTTATCCTCTTGTTAGAAAAAGTTATTGAGCTTAAATCTCTAGATGTAGGTTAATAGAATTATTAACCGAACGATCAGTTGTAGGGTGTTTATGTATGGAATTACGAACGATTATCCTCGACCATCTAGCCTTTTATCAATATCTGAAACTTGTTAGAAAGTGAATAATGAGTATTTGCACTCTTATTTGAATCTTTATTTGTTAAAAAACAATCCAACCAATATGAATTAAAATGTTTAGGATTTAATTTCATTTTCTTGTGCTTGAATACACGTGCAAAAATAATCTGGCCAGTCTTCCCTGTGATTCAACCTAGGATAGATTCTTTCGAATTGAATCTGGTAAAAAGAACTATAACAATGACCATAATTCCCATGGTACCTACAATAAGGATCACTGCGAGAGGGAATGTACCCTCACTTCTTGGGGATAAGGGTAGGTCGTGAAAAAGATGCCATTATCCCCATGCTTTTCTTAAAACCTCGAATACATCCTTTTCGACACCACCAAAGGTGTATACTACCCGTACTTGAACCAGATCTTGTTGCGATCCTCTTCCCTTGAGTCCTAATTTGATGACCTCTTATCGTCTGACCAAGGATTTTCCTCAGATTGCTTTTCCTTGACTTTATCATTTTGCATAAAATCGGCCTTTGCCTTCTCCTGGTTAATATGCTTTGCACACCATAACAGTAGCTCGTCAACCAACCTCATAGGTCTCTTTGCGAGGCAGTTTCGACATGCCTCTGGCTGGAGACCATTAGTTAGACCTCTTGCCCTGATATCTTTTGATGCTGAGGGGACCTCAACACATTCCGTAGTGTAGTGCTCTACGTACTCTCAAGGGTCTCACCCTCATTATGTTGTATATTGATTAGAGTCAAACAAATGTTTTCGTGCTCCTCTCGCAGGAGAATGGTCGATAAAACAAGCACAACCCCTCAAAACTATCGGTAGAACCAGTCGACAACTGGTGAAAACAATCTTGTTTTCATCCTTTCAAAGAAGTTAGAAAAAATCTACAACAGTTCGCGTCACTATGACGATGCAACACCGCTATGTTCTCAAAGCTGCTTAAGTGCCTAGTTGGTTATGTAAACCGATCATAAGATAGGTTCATTTGCGAAAATTGTATAGTAGATTGTCCACCAATACCTCTTTAGCAAATGGGTGACCATGAATTTTGGGTGCTACCATGCCCTTACCCTATCCTGTAGCTGGGCCGCCAACCTTTCTAAGGTGGTGTCCCTCGCCGTTAGGGACACTATACTCGGTGATGATACTGATCTAACTTCACCATCTACAGTTCTCCTATGAGGATATGGTTGCAGATCTACCGGGTTCTTCTGGTTGGCTGCTCGGGCTCGTGCCACTGCCTCGACTACAATTCTGTATAATTCTATCCTTATGAGCTGAATCATCTAATTTTTTCTTCTGACCTCCTATCTATCGAGTTTTCCTGTTGTATTTATTGAGTTTTCCTACTGTCCACTCTGTCCTTAGGGTTGGGTATTCCCCAGGACCTCAATTTGCTGCTCTTCAGCCATATTGTTCAATCATGAGGTCTGAGCTACCAAGATCTACTCTTGTGTAAGTTCTGAAAATTAGCAGTAAATCGACGAACCTTCATTAGTTCCCAGGTTCAGACAACTCAAAGAATATTTAAGGGAAGTTGATTTGATCACTTGTATTTTTTTTTCAATTGGGTCTGTTAATTGATTATGTGCGTTTTATTATGGAATGACTAATGGAGGGAAGTCGGGATTCACCTTCCATATGTGCGAGATGTCAATCACAGGTTTGGACTCCAAAAGAAGATCTACCATAAGTAAGCATGTCTTGGAGGCAAAGTTTCATGTAAGACTTACCATATGAAGACATAAGATAAAAGGTTGACGCGGCGTATAATGAGGCACACTTTTGATCTTTGTTTTGTTTTGAGGAAATATGATTCTTGTTTTGTTGATTTTGAGTGATTTCGATCTTTTACTTTATATTTTAGGGAAAT